CATGGACAGGTGTTTGTGTTTACTGTAGATCACTGTAGAAAACTTCGTAGTTTGTAGTTTCTGTTCTGCGAACACAACCACGTCAAAAAGTGATTTTTGCTTATGAAAAACTACAGTATCCAAGAAAGTGAGATTTCTACAGTATTCCCCTGTCAAAAACACCGTTCCATCAAATTCCAAACAAAAAAATTCGGAAAAATCGAAAAAGAATCTTCAAAAATAGCTAAAAATCCTAAAAATGTCTAGAAATTTTGTAAAAAATCAAAGAAAACATCAATTTTATATTTCGAAAAATCGCAAATTTTTCGGAGTTTTCAGTTTTGGCGGTTTTCGAGGAAATTCGTCTGAAAATTCACTGAAAATCTGCTGAAATTGGCTCGAAAACGCTAAAAAATAGTCAAATCTGCTTGAAAATACCTGAACTTTAGTGAAAATTAAAAGAAATATATCTGAAATTTGTGCGTAAATGGCTGGAAATGTAAATTTCGACGATTAAAATTCGCTCAAACTGTTTGAGAATTACGAAAAATGACTAAAAATGGCTGAAAATTAACTTAAAATCGACCAAATAGGCCTAAAATTTGTAAAAATTAGCTTAAAATCAGTGTAAACGACTAAAAATGACCTAAAATAGCAGTTTGTAGTCTCTCCAATTCAAAATCTCTAAATTCCAGATCGTCTCGAAACAAGAAACCGCCCGCATCACCATCGACTACTGCCTCGAACACCAACCCCACCCATACGATCCTCGCTACCAGCCCCGCGGCGCCCGCCCACCGCCCACTTCTTCAATGTTCCATCAACGAGAGTACATCGACTACTACACCCCAGAAGTCTTCATGAGAGATCAAGAAGATCGCAGAATCCGGTCTCAGAAGATTCAAGGAGAGCACGTCTCCATAGTGAGCTCTGAAAAACGACCGATTGAAGTCAAAACGTACTGTCCACCTGGCAGAATTCGAGCCTCTTTTGGTACCCGAGCTCTGGCTCCGCCCCTAGCAGCACAGTTGGCCGCTGGAACCACTCAGCCATTTGTCAACGCCTATGATGACGTGGAATCTTCATCGCCGAAGCGACAGGCCCCACCTAGAAATGTGCTGTATAACCGGCAATCGATAAGGAATTATAAGGATGAGCAACCACCCGCTCCTGAGCCACGTGTCCAAGAAGAGGATCCCAACCTCCCGCCCCCTAGAATCTATCTAACACAGAAGCCGTACACCAGAATGACCGAGAGACAGAATTTCAAAGACATCTACACCTTCAACGCCATCTGTAAAGTAGAAGACTCGTGTCTCTCGCTTCTGAATCGTCTTCAATCTTGCCAACACGCCCGTGTCGGCCTAGGATATAAGGAGAAAATTCAGGCGATTCTGAGGAATACCAACTCGGACCCGGGTCTCATCGATGGATCGACGGAGGAGGAGATGCGGGAGTCGTGGGTGCTTCAGAAGCCGACGCGTGGGCGACCGAGGAAGCGACAGAAGATGGAAGAGGAGGGAGAGGAGGATGGAGAGGATGATGACGTGGAAATCGAGGAGAGAATCCGAGAGGAAGAGCAAGAGATAGTAGTAGAGGAGAAGGAGATTCATGAGGATACCAGGGTTGTTCAGCAAGATGAGCTGAAGGATATTCCATTGTAAGTTGTGAAAAGTGCAGGGAAGTAGGCTGAAGTTCATTAAAAATCGATTTCTGCGCTTTTCTATAGTTTGTAGCCATTGTAAAAGCTCGGAATTTCTTGGCAAATTAGCCGAAAGTCATAGAAAACGGGTTTTTTGTAGTTTGTAGCTAGCCGAAAACCATGAAAAACGGACGAAAACGAGTCGAATTACAACGATTTGAAGATTTTACTGAGGCTTAGAAATGCTTGTAGTTTGTAGTCTAAGCCTCAGTGAATTTAATTGTTTTCACTTGGATTAGGAACTACAAACTGCAATATTTTCGAAATGCCTTGAAAAGCCCATTTAAAGACCAAACGAGCAATTTTTCTGATTTTACTGAGGCTTAGAACATTTTGTAGTTTGTAGTCTAAGCCTCAGTAAAATATTAAAACGCTGTAACTTGGCTCGTTTTCAACCGTTTTTAATTATTTTTTTGCAAATTTCGAGAATTCGTTGTACTTTGTAGTTTTTGCAGTTTGTAGTCTTAAATCACAATTTGAAAAACATTTTTTTTTAGATTTTTTAGAAATTTTCTACAAATTCGAAAACAATTTTAATCTAAAAATGAAGGATTCTGTAGGAAATTTTCAAATTTCTAGAAATCCCAAAAATCCAATTATTTCGAACTAAAAATCAGCAAACTCCGAAAAAAAGGAGCCAAGTTACGAAATTTTTACTGAGGCTTAGGAATTTTTGTAGTTTGTAGTCGCTTAGCCTCAGTAAAAGCCTCTTTAGATCATCGATTCAATTTTCTAGAGCTTTCAGACTCCCCGAACATTCACAAACAACACAACCGTCTACGTCTGCAGCTTCAGAAGACGTGATTCCGCAGGTTCAGAGATCGGAGACGTTGGAATCGACGTCATCAACTGCAAGCCACGTGGCATCGGATGGAACGACGAGGAGTGGAAGAGCGCGGAAGACACCGTCGCGGCTCTTGGAGCAATAAATTCTAATTGGCCCTAATTATCCCAATTAAAAGCTTTAAAAATACCTTTTTTTGAAATTTTCCTTGTTTTTTTGGAAATTCGATTCTGAAAATCCCATTATTTTTCCCTTTAATAATCCATTTTCTTTAAGATTCGCTGTATTTTATAAATGTTGAATTTATTAGAGGTAGCAGAAAGATATGAGAGAGAGAATATTACAGGAAAATTGAGATTCGAAGAGTTTGGGGAGAGAGAGAGAGATCAGAGAAAAATGCTAAAAATTCTTTTAAAAATCTGAGAAAACACCAAAAATCGATAATTTTTCAAATTTTAAAAATCTTAAAAATTCAGATTTTTTCTTTAAAAAATAAATTCAAATTTGAAGAAAAAATTCCTGAAATTCAGTATTTAAGAAACTGAGAAAATTGAATTTCGCAAATTCTAAAATTCAAAAAACTGAGAAATTTTCAAAAAAATCGATAATTTTTAAAAAATTCGGATTTTCAGCTCCTCTTCGTCGGAACATTCGTCATCACTCCGATTGTTTTTTTCTGTCGATTCTCCACCGGAATTCCAGCATTTTTCGATGAATTTTTCTTCATCGACGCCTTCTGAACCTTCTTCTGTTGCCCATTTTCCGTCTGCTTCTGTCTCAACCGTTCCGCCCTCGATTCCTCTTTTTTCTCCTCTTTTTTCCGCTGCTTCTCCTCCATTTCCATCGCTCGAATGTCTTTTTTCGCGAATCGCCGCTTCCGTTTTCCACCCGATTTGATTTTCTCCGGAATACTTTTGTTCTCGATGCCACGTGGATTCTGTGAGGGAACCCTGTTGTTTCGCTGGTGCCATGTTTCTTGAATCGTTGGAGAGCTTAGTACGCAGAGCAAGAAGACTGTCTGAAAATTGAAAAATTAGAAAAAATGTGCCAAAAATCATGAAAAACTCAAAGTTTTTTCGATGTTTCACTGAGGCTAAGGGACTACAAACTACAGTAACTCCCAAGCCTCAGTAAAAACTTGAAATCACCGTAACTTGGCTCTTTTTTCGCCGTTTTCGACGATTTTCAGCTTGAAATATTTGGGGTATTAGGGATTTTTAGAAAAGGGGCTCTTTGAAGTGTTTTCATGGAATTTTTATCCTTATTTGAGCTCAAAATTTGTATTAAAACTTTCAGAAAAGTAAAAAAAAATTTTTCGAAAATTCTGGTTCTAGAGTTATAGACTACAAACTACAAAAAATTCTCAGAAATTTGCAAAAAGCATTAAAAACGGTTGAAAACAAGCCAAGTTACATCGCGTTGAAACTTTACTGACTAGGGAATGACTCACAGAAGATGTGGAGTTATGGGACGAGACCTATATCATTCGAAAGAGGATGAAATTTCATTTTCAAATATATGCTCAGTTTTTGCGGCGGCCTCCGCTAACTCGAGAAATTTGGGTCAGAAGTTTTCAGTAGATTTTGCACTGAAATGCATACGTGAACGCTTCCACGTCCTCATTTCTTTTATACGCTTTGAAGAACCATTGAAAACAGCAGTGGGATGGTTCAGTGGTAAAGCGGCGGGATGGGGAAATGGTACTCTATGGTTCGATTCCTTCATAGTCGAAACTCTTTTTTTATTTTTTGTTGGTTTTTTATATGACCTGTTTTTGAGCTCAAAAGCTGTTTTCAGCAGTTTTCCATACTCTAAACACCTTTGGCATCTTGTCAAATACAAATTAACCAAGTTTTTGGAAAAAAAATTTCTGAAGAAAATTCGCATGTTTTCATGATCCATACACCTCTTTTCAAATTTTCCGATTTTTTTATCCTTGGCGGGATTATTCCAGTAGGGTTTCCATCCGGGCGGGCGGTGAGCCGCCCGCTTGCCGCCCGTTCGCCGCCCGTCTATAAAAGCGAGACATAATAATAATCGTTATAATAATAAATATAGATTTCTTTGTGTTTCAAAAAGTTTTTTTTTGAAAATTTGAAAAGCAGGTGTATGGATCATGAAAACATGCGAATTTTCTTCAGAAATTTTTTTTCCAAAAACTTGG